TTATATTTAAAACTTGTCAGAAAAATATTTAGTCTTCAAAATTCTTTTTCCTTCACTTTTTTCTAAGAAATGTTTTTTATCGGTTTAAAAGATGTATCATTTTTCATATTTTACATATCAAATTTATCATTTCTTTTTTATTTTTTCTCATAGGCTTTTTTAAATGAAACAATTTCAATTTTATTTTATTTTTTCAATTCGGACATATAGAATTTACAAAATTATGATAATATTAAAAACATCATTCACTTCTGAGATTACATCAATTCATTCAAATTTGTTTTTAAAACTGGAGTTACATGATACACTAACTTTTATACTGTTGTTTTATTTATCCTTTGTAATAATTAAAATTAGGAGTTTATTTTATAGCCGTATTTTATTGACATGATTTTTCGGGTTTCTTGAATTAGGGCAGGACCGACGTGATCCCATGGCCATTGAACTGTAGCTGACACGGTCGCACAAGATGTGAGCCGGTTTTATCGAAATATCACCGTACAAGTAATAATTACTTACCAGCACCCTTTCTCTTAATATTATTAATCTAGTACATTTTTTACAAGATGCGGATCACAATCTGCGCCTTCGCGGGATTTTGTCCGATATGACACCACGTAAGAAAAGGCACGGATCGTTATCTGCACCTTAATTGAATCTCTGACATATACAAAAGGAACATATCATAAAGCACACATTTTATAGGTGTGTATATCCCTAAAAGTATTTTAAAAAATATATGTTTTAAAAATATTTAAAAATAAAACTATAGGAATTAACATCGTAATTTAATACATATTAATTCATGAGTTAAAGAGCTTAATGGTGTTAGCTTATATAGACATATTAGTGTTTAGGTTATGCTTATTAACAATGTGGGAGAAAAGTTAAAAGGTGTATTTCTTGACAATGTGTTTAGATTATATTTCCATGAGTTGCCTTCGATCGTTTTCATTACATTTTTATTTCAATTATATACATATAAATGTAATAAGAATTTGGTTAATTATTATTTGTTTAATTTTTAAGTTACCTTACATCAACCCAAAAAATAAAAGTGAAAAATAATTGATTAATTACTTAGTATTAGATCATATTACTACTATATCATCAACATACATTGTATCATGAAAAATTAGTGGTGTGACCGCATGTTAGAGCAAACCGAGAGAAACCTTTAGCAGCTTCAATCTAATCATTAACAACATCAAGACAACAATTAGCAAACCAATGAAATATGGCAGCAACACTTCATTAGATGATTTTGAACAAACAATCATGCAAAACCCAAAATGAAACAAACAGGAGATGATTCAATAGTTTATATGGATATTTTACCCATAAAGAGACAAAATCAACTTTATAAACTTCATAAATTGTGGTAGTGTGTTTCTCTATTAAAAATGGTGTAGTCTAGTCCACCTCAAGATGGTAAAAAATATAATTTCTAGTTAGACCGCACAATATAATTGTGAGCCGTTGGTATTGTAAAATTTTAGACATTAGTTAACCACATTGTACGTTGTTGATATAGTAGTAACATGATCTAATACTAAGTAATTAATCAATTAATTTTTTCACTTTTATTTTTTGGGTTGATGTAAGGTAACTTAAATTTTTTTTATCAACTTGTTATTACATTTATATGTATATAATTAAAATTAAAATGTAATGAAAACGATTGAAGGCAACTCATAGAAACATAACATAAACACATTGTTAATAAATACACTTTTTAGCTTTTATCCCACATTGTCAAGAAAAATAACCTAAACACTCCAATATGTCTATATAAGCTAACCCCATTAAGCTCTTCAATTCATGGAACTAATATATATTAAATTATGATGTTAGTCCCTATAATTTTATTTTTATAATTTTTTAAAATGCTTTTAGGGATGATGTGGACCTATGGAAGCTGTGCTTCATTATCTGCGTCTTTCGTATATGTTAGAGGTTTAACTCCCTTACGTGGTGTTAGGTTGGACAAAATCCCACGAAGGTGCGGATGGTGATCTACGTCTTGTCAGAAAGGGTGCTAGGTCGATAATATTAGAGAAAGGGTGTTTGACAGGTAATTATTACCTGTACGAGTGATATTTTGGTAAAATTACCAAGATGTGAAGGTGAGGTCGAGGGCTAGGGCTCATAACAAATAAATACTTAAAAAAATATCTTAGTGTCTAATTTTTTTATTAAAAATAAATGTCTAAAATTTTTTCGTTACATTTTTAGGTGATTACCGTTAAAAAAATCATTAAGTGACACGTGTTACGTTTATATTTTTAAAAAAATATTATTTAAAAATATATATTTTTTAAAATTTTGATGCGACACGTGTCACTTAACATGTTTTTAACAGGTGATATTTTGAATACGATTTAGGTACTTATTTTTATATTAATAAGAAAAAAAAGAAAATGAATTATTGCCCCCATCGAGCAAACCAACAAAAATCAAATTGCACCACCAACGGCTTTGAGTGTTCCGTTGAAAAATACGAAGCCATCTGAGTTTTAGTAGGGACCTCTTACTTGAGCTCATGCAAATGTAAGCGCCTGATGGTTCATTGAATCTTGGCCACATTAGCCCGGGTCAGAGGAGCCACCGGCAGCCAGTCGGTTTTGCCAAAGACTATTCACGTGTAGGAAAGAAGAAGCCCAGAAGTAAAGTTCACAATTGCCTACGTTTTTAAAAATTGATTAAAAAAAGACTGCATTAAATTATGTTATTGTGGAGCTGAGAATTGCCAGCTGCTTTACTTGGAAGGAAAATTATAAGCAATGAAATTCGGTCATTGGTTCTTCGGAGGTGTTTTATTAATTTGGCAATTATAGGCAGAGTGGGACTGGTGTAGGTTGGTGTCTTGCTTGGATGTCACGGCTTTAGTCTCCACTTAGTCCTCCTATAGAAGGTTTCGGAATGATATGGATAATCATATTATTAGTAGTAGTTGGATCTGCTAAATTAATTGTCAAAGTCGACAAAGATTCAAGGCCCAGCAGACTAGTGCTATTGATTGGATGACAGCACACCAACTCTCTAATTCGTTTTGATTTAGCTCTCTAATCATTCCAGCAATGAGTAGATGATAATGATTTAGCCTCAAATCTGTTAAGTTTATTTTAGGCCGTTAAGAAAATGAAGGAAATTCCCGTCGTCCATGACCGCCAGTTTGGAGTGTTGAAAGCCGGGATGATGCTTTGCTTGCTTGTTACCACCAGTTTTAACCGATTCACATGTGCGATTGAATTTAAATATTGGATTTGATTTTTATGGACTAACAAGATTATTTTAATTGTTTCATTAAGACTTTTGAATTTTTCATAATTATAAAAATGACAAGAAGAACAAAAACTTAAAAAAGACTGAATTTTTTCTTATTTTTGAATAATCAACATAATATATACTTGTAGTTTTGTAGTATGTAGGATAACTTGGGCATTACTATGGTTGTCTCGCAGACATTTTTTTCCTCTCATAAGATCTTTACATGTAATTCTTTGTCTGATTTATTTTGGAAAGACTGATAAGATATTTAACACTTTTAGAAAGCCAAACATTTTGATCTCATTTATTTTCTTTGGTCATGAAATACGTTATTACAGAATATATTTTTGTTTTTGTTTGTTTGTAAAACTATTCACCAACATAAAACATAATCATTAAGTTTATCCTCCAACGTAACCAACCTAAACAGGTAATCAAGATAATTTTTCAAAAGCTCAATTAGCACAACTTAACCTTAATAGTAACTGAAGCCCCACCATCAAATCAATCAAGACTAAAATCGCCGTATATATTTATAAGTGTATGAAAGGACTGACAAAAGATGATATATTAAAGGATGAATTTAAATTTATAAAATTTTAAAAATTGAATTAAATTTATAAAATATATTAGTGTAAAATTATATTTTTAATAAAATATATATAAATTTTTTTATAATATATGATAATTTTAAATTTTGAAGGTAATTACCCCGACTAGATCTAAACCTAAGCGCGTGTGTGTGAGAGAATCCTATGATGACCATTGGTTACGACGAACTAATACAATATATCCTCAAAAATGATAATGCATGTTTAAATATATTACTTTTTCATAAATATGAAGTTAGCTGAGCTGTGTTAAATGCGCCATCAATACAGTTAACCATACCGATACCTACAAATCCCATTACCAAAATCAAATTCAATAATTACCCAAAAGCTCAGATTCTAGTGATATCTAATTGCAATATCAAGTTTGCATGGGCTTCCGCTTATGAAGATCTAGTGTGCTTCCAAAGGTACAACAACAAAGAAATTCAAAAGTAGTTAAACCAAATTACACACCACAATTTCATAGCTATATAGCTAATCCACACATTAAGACAACAAGAAGACGAAGAAGAAGAACACACGCGCACACAAAAGGAAAAATCCAAAGTTCAGTCCTTAATGAATAACCTCATCTCCTGCAACGGGTGATCCTTGAACACCCTCGAGAGTAAGGATGAACCGGTCCATGAGCCTGGAAACAGTTGTGGGTATAATAAGACCTGCCCGATCTCGGTGGACATGGGATTCTATTAGCCGAAAGCGCACCGTATGAAATGTAATACTTCATCCTCTTCCAAAACAAAGATCTACGACTATACCCATTTCCATCTTCACCCTCTCTCTCTTCTTCGTCACCTTCGTCGTCGTTTAAGTCACTATAAAGTGACATTGAAAGCGGCCATTCCAAAGCATCACCCATTAGCTTCAAGCTCGTCTCTTCAACTTGGGCTTCGACTTTCGAGCTTGAAAAGACAATGTAAGCGATGAAAAGGGGCAAAAGAAGCAGCGAACATGGAGAAGCCATTGTCACTGACGAGTTGCAGAGCTTTGTTGAAGAAGAGGAAGGGGATGGAGTAGTGTAGTGAAAGTAGGTTTGAGAAGGGGGGTTGGTTAAAGGGGACAAATGGGGTCACGATGAGCAGAGAGGTGATTGGTTTACAGCTGTGATTTTCATCAATGGCAATGCCTCCTCCATTAAAGCGTGCTTCGATTCCAGGACCAATCAGGAGGAGTTTGTCCTCTTCTCTGTGTTAGGGTTAATGGCTTTAGATTTGTTTTTAGCCGTTGATCTTGTTATGTTTGTGGGACCATCGTACTTGGTTCAATTAGGGTCATTAAGTACAGTGTTTAGTTGGAATGTAGCATATGATAGGGAGACACGGTGCACATGCGACGGATGGAATGATGAAGAAACGCGCTTCGGGCCGGTGGTAGATTAGATTGGACCGCTTAATTCCTTCGTTTTTTTTTCTTGGTATAATTCAACATTTAGTCCCTAAATTTTGAAACATTACACATGCTAGTCAATAAACTTGGTTTTAGTCAAAATTAAACTTAACAACTTTTTCTCAATTTAATCCTTTTGATAATGTGATACTCCGATATTATTCCATGTGGCACACTGTTAATGTGATGTATCATCAAAAGGGCTAAAGATTCTCCAAAAATCTAATTTTAAAGATTAATCTAACCACAAAAAATCAAGAACTAAATTGATAAAATTATTAACTTGAAGCACTAAAAAGTTGCTTTATCCCAATGTTTTTTAACAACCATCGTGAATTTAAACGAACTTAATAATGTTGCAATTTAGAAATGTTGCTTCTTCTTCCACGTGGCTCAAATACTCAAATAAGGTGTTGGCAAAAATAAATTATAAAAAGGTCCAGTATTTGAGGAGTAGTTCACGTAAAAGTTCAAGTTCAATCATTTAAATTAGTCGAATAAGGGTACGCAGTTGTAAAGTTTGTTTGAACAATAACCTATCTTTTTTTTAGGGTAGTTATGTTATACGGTAGTCTTAATATACGATTAAGGAAATGTTCTACCGTAAATATTATTATTTTTTTAACATTTTCAGTAAAGCGTTACCCAAAACATTATTGTCTTTTACCGAAAATATTATTTTCGCTAACTAATTTCTGATAGAACCCAATATTAACATTTTCGGTAGAAAAAAATAATGTTTTAGGTAGCGCTTTACCGGATATATTAAACATTTTAGATAACGCCTAATGTTAACATTTTCGGTAGAAAAAATAATGTTTTTTCAGGTAACGCTTTACCATAAATGTTAAAAAATAATAATGTTTCCGATAGCGTAATTCTTTAATCGTATATTAAGGCTGTCGTACTTGAGACATCCCAAACTTTCAACATAGTAAAATAAAAATTTAATATATCAACGCAAAAGCAAAGAGGTTTAGTAATGAAAAGGTACACACGCTCTCTCTCTGGTATTTGTTCATGTGTCTATGTTCTGCTTATGGTTGCATGTAAACGTGGTAGCTTTCTTGTTAGAACTTCCTTAGATTATTATTAAGCATTTGTTTCACATGAACTAGTCTCAAAAGCTCACCGTGGAATTGGCTTTATCACCTTTGCTACTGCAGGTCAGATTATCCTGTTCCTGGCTTGGCACCTTTCAGTTTTTTGTCCGCATCAAATGGTTGCATGCTTGTGTTTGACCTTTGGGATATTTTATATGGGGTTTTCAAGACTAAAGTTCTACAAGTTATTTTGTTGTCTGTTTTTCCAATTGAAAATCCAAGTTGTGCAGTTAAGAATCACCTGTTACTTATTCGAACTTAGTTATATATACTGGTTCTTTTCCTCCCATCTTGTTATGTCCCACTGTGAGATACTTATTTTACTTGTACAGGTTCTGTGGAGAATCTGATGGCTGATACTCATGAACTAGGGGGTGATACCGTAGTAGTTGATCAAGCAACACCCAAGGCAAGCTACATCACAGCAAGTGCTTTTTTGTTTTTTCAACAATTTACCTGTTTGACCACTCTAAGGTTCAATATTGATCTTTTAAGTGCAAGATAAAGAACAATTTTGTTTCCATATTCTATTCCCCTGGAAATTTCACATATATGCTCAATATATGTGGGAATAATATCACTATTTTGATATTATGTTGGCAGGAAGATGATTTAAAACCTACAGGCAGAATGTCCCAGGGGGGCTATGGTGCGTACGATGCTTACATTTCTGCTGGGACTAGATATGCTGCAGTTGGTGTTCCTACCTTGTATGACCATCCTGGCCCAATAATGAAAGTAAGTTCCTTTCCTACCAGCGACTTTGATTTGTGGAAATACTTCTTATTTATGCTGTAATTTTTTCCCTTTATGTTGAACTAGGAGGGGAATCCAGTCGAGGGATGGGAAAAAAGATATTTGTTGGCAGGCTCCCTCAGGATGCTACTGTTGATGATCTGCGCCAGTATTTTGGTAGATTTGGTCAAATAGTAGATGTTTATATTCATAAGGTAAAAGTGATGAAATGTAATGTAGAAATGAGAGATGAATTGAAGCCATCTGATGAAGGTTTGGATGCTCTTATAATGTAGGACCCCAAGAGATCTGGCCACAGAGGTTTTGGTTTTGTGACTTTTGCTGACGAAGGAGTTGCAGACAGTGTCTCGTAGGTCTCACGAGATTTGTGGACAACAGGTACACGGAAAAAAGCTTCTATTTTCTTTCCTCATACTTTATTGCCACCTTACATCTGAGCCCTGGCTCGTGATACCCTTCCATTTTTATTCATAATTATAAGAATTTATGCTTGATAGCAGGTTGAACAGGCCAAGTACTTTGATGATATGTTAAGTTTAACCTGCCATAATATCCATTTCCGGTTATGGAAATTAACTCTAGTTCTGAGATTATGCTCTGAAATTGACTCTTGCAATGACTAGTTAATAGGCAAGCAGGCCTAGTCATCTACAATTACGCCCCTTTGTTTTAGTTATTCTTTCTACCTTATATTCTCCTGTTTTAAACTCTTATCATTTTGAATCTAAACTTGCTTTTCAGGTGGCAATAGATTCAGCAACACCTGTTGATGACGTTGGCCCTAGTTTCGTGATGAATCCTGTTGGACCATTTAGAGGTTTTGGTGGTCCGATGCGCCACTTTGGTAGGATGTATGGAGGCCTGCATTATGACGATGCGAGTATAATCACACACATATATTGGAAACAACTTAAACAATGAACTTTGGCAATCTAAATTATTTTTAGACAGAAGCAGGGTTCCTTTTACCCATTTCATATTTAGCTGTGGGGTTATGCCTTTGGGAGTACAAGGCCGTCGAGAGCAGACTGGCTGTACCGGCCCTACTAAGCAACCATGGAATTGCTGTGAAGATCACAATCTCGATTATTACCTTGATATGATTCAGTAACATATTTAACTGAACTGGGTTGATTGTTAATATTTTTAACAGTGTGGTACCCATCTTTACCAAACCCTTTTCACCTGGAACTTGTTGTCAACGTTATGTTGTCAAGTTTCAATTGTTAGCATATATGCAAATATTTTATTGTTGACATATGAAAGCTTATCTCCTCGTGTTCAATAGCCCAAAGGGCATTTAACCTATTATGGTTAGTGGACATTGAAGACCGTAAAAGAAGTTATTTCCTTTAAAAAAGGAGAAAATATATATCATATCCACCAAGAACATGAGCTAGAAATCTGCAGTCTCCTGAGCCATTGAATGTAAAATTCTATGATACTTTACATGAGAGAGTAGGGAAGCCGATAAACTGGCAGGCATAACAATCAAAATACCTGGTGGAAAAGATTTGAGCCCATGGAGATGATATCAAATTTACAGAAAAACTAGAAACCATGGCAGGAGAAACAACTACTGAAATAACGCATGAGCGTATGCAAGAATGTAAACTTTGCTGAAGTTTTTGGAGTCTGTTCATCCTCTTTGCCTGACATCGAATTTCTCATTTCTTGAGCTTTAATCTGGGACGTTCTCAGCTTTCTCAAGATCTTATCCATCGATGCTAATCTCTTCTTTTCTAATTTCATCTGATTGTAAGATACAGAAAATGCAGGAAAATTAATTTTAAGAGAGCTGAAACAACTGGATTTAGGAAACAAAATTTGGACAAAAACAGAGTTCCTGTGAGCATGTGAACCTCTAGTTTTCGTATGGCTGCTTCTGCTTTTGCCCTCTGCAAATTCTCCCATGCACTGATCTTTGCAGCCTGCAAAATCAAGTTGAAAATACTTTTTTAAAGAAAAAGCTCCTTTATATTTCTGACACTTTAATTTCAGTCAACTACTTCCATAGTTTCCTTTGGATATTAACATTAATTCACCCATGAAATCATGCAGTTCCATCTAGGAACTCAATGTGGAAATTTCCTCGTAACATTAAAGACTAGCATTGAATGAAAGAATTTAAACTATATTTCATCCAAGTTTGGATTCCAGGGATGTTAGAAAGTTATGCGCTCCCAACTATTGGAAGTTATTGGAACTCTCATCTTGTATGAAAAAAGCAGTGATATTGGTCCCTAATAAAGCTAGTTAAAATTACATTCCACCCTTTATTAAGCAAAGAACATGTATTTTTTGGAATTCAAAATCCATATCATGCATTAATTATGTTTATTTGGGAAACTTCCATCTCTAATTGGATGTTGCAGACTTGCAGGACTAAAATTAAGGAAGAATGCAATAGAAACATACTTTGCAAGGCTTGTTGAAGCTTCTGAGATATCCAGGGATAAAGCAAAAGCCGGGGCATTGTCTCAGTAGAAGTCTTCGAAATCTGGTTTGCCTTTCTTGATTCTTCGAGATCCATGTCTTTTTGACCGGCTAGTAATGGTGGCTCGCTTGTCTATCTGCACTTCCCTGATGTCCAGTTTAGAAGGATGATCATTGTTGTCCACGGAAGGAAGAGGAAGGATAGGAGGAGTGACTGGCCAAACGAAGACCTCTCTCTCGGAGATGAATGTTTGCTACTATCGTCTGGGCTCATTTGTGTCGCCATATCTCTCTGTGAAACTACACGATTGATCATCATTTCGGCATCCTTGATCTCATCGAGTTTTTCATCTGGAAATTTGTTCCAGCATCAGTAGTTCCAAGCCGCAGACATGCAATTTCAAGCTAACATTTTATAAGAGATCCGAGCAACTCGAATAGTTAAAAGAGAAATGAAGAGCAGAGCAACATAACTAAAGCTAGCATATGATTTTTCTGCACTCTGGTTTCAATGCATATTTAAGAACTTCATCATTCACAATTAGTCATTACAGATAACATGTTACATATTTAACTGAACTGGGATTGATTGTTAAATATCTTAAGCAATTTGAAGTTCAATCTTAAAATTGGGTTTCTTTGGGGTTAGATTATCCTAATTAATGTTCTTTAGCTTCCATAATCAAATCAGAAGATAAAAATCCATGAAACCTAAGTTGAAATGGGAAGCAAATGATACCTTGAGAGCTTGGCAATGATGGCTCACTAACCAAATTTGACCATCCAGGCATAATAGCGGATCCAGCCCCATTACTATCACTCTCCACCATACAAGACCGGTCGCCGTCACCATAGCCACCGGGTGCAGAGGCTGAGACGACAGCCCTACAACCAACATAATGAACGGAAACCCCCCCAGTTGAAAAAGGAGACCCCGCCATCAAATTCCGAACATCCCCGCTTCCTCCAACATCAAGTAAGTTGAAAGCCATCCCCGGAGGCACAATCGGCCCGCTTTTAGACTTGGGCCGCCTCTGCTGCTGATAGTTCACGTTCTTGCTAACACCGTAACCCAAAACGGGGCTACAAATCCACCTCTCCGCATCTTCCCATTTCGAAGGCAACGTTCTCCAACTGTAAAAAGGTGTCAGAGATGAAGCACTGATATGTCTTCTGCTACCGCCATTACCGTTAACCGAAGAACGCGGAACTCGCTCCGAACTCCAACCCTTTTGACTCACCACCGCGCCATTATCGCGGTAATCCGAAGCTCCTGGGCTTGGAAAAGTACCCAGATGGCTCAAAGAAACAGACCCTTTCTTCATCAATTCTCTCAAATCACCAGAAACAAAACCCAAGAGTCTTACCCTTTCAGCTTAGCTCTACAAAGTGCCACAAAGAGCTAAACTTTGAACAGAATAATATTTGGTTTTTTCGGTTTGCTGGCAAGGATGTCCAAAAGGGTCATTGAGAAAATTAAAGAAATTGTTTGAAAGCTGACATTTTTTACTGTTCTTTGTTTGTAGCTAAATTATACAGCTTTTTCCTTCATTTTTATCTTTTTTTGGGGGGATAATTTATCCTTTTGGGAAAGCTACCCATTTTCTTGGGTACAAAGATTTGTTTGCATCCAAGACAAGCCTCATGAAGGGTGTTGGTTCATTGAGATTGAAAAATGCCAAAACATTGCATACAAAAGCTAAGAATGTTGACGACTTTGCATTAAACGTCATTTTAACAGGCTTAAAAGCTGTACCTATCAAAGACAATGACATTGCGTCGTTTTCTACGTATTCCTTCTTTCCTACTCGATCAAATCCCAGATATTCAAATAAAACCACACCAATAAGACATCCAAAAAGCCACTCGGAACAGAAAAAAGTGTGTTACCGAATATATCCATAGATGGTTGAGCAATGACCAATAGGAACATGCAGGCTTTACATACAGATTTAAGGCTGTATATATATATATATATATCATTGTTCATACTTTGGCATTTTCTTATGTTTGTTCCTTCTACTATACGAGAAATTGAAATGTTTTACAATTAATCTCTGTTTATTTTGCTTATTTTCAAGATATTAGTTCCTTGTAATTTACATAAATTTATGTTAATGGAATTGACTATTTGTGGATCGTTGCCTTCAATAACCAATAATTGAACCATGTAATTGCCAAAAGAATAATAATTGAACTCTTTTCATCCAATAATAATAATACTTGAAGTAGTTTTATAATACAGGATTTACATTTCTAAATTAAAAACAAAGCCTTGAAAGCATATCCAAAACAAGGTCGGATTCAATGCCTGGTCCCTCTCGGTTACTTCAATTCCTTTTAAGTATATATATATATATATATATATATATTGAAGTTTTTATATATATTGAAGGTTTTTTTTTACTTACTTTAATAGTGTTGGAAAAACATTAAGTCCCTAGTACTGAGAGTTCGTATGTAGTATTTTCCATTTCGTAAGATCTTTTGAGTGATTTTAAAGATAAAAAAATATTTTTAAAAGAATTTAAGTTTGAATATTTGTATCAACAGGATATGTGTTGTGTGTGTATTACTACATGCTACGAACATTCTGAACAATCTTTAAAGAAATTTTCATTTTTAGTTTCGAGTTTTAGTATACATTATTTTTATTCATATTTATTCTAATTTACATTTATATATTTTTATTATTTTGATTTTATATTATAATGACTAATTTTAATTATTAATGTTTAGATATATGTATTATTGTAATCTCAAAATAAAGCCATAAAAATGTAAATTCATTCATTTTGGGAAACTAATAATAATAATATATAATATGAAAGGGTGTTCCATCGAGTAAATTTTGCAGCAGCTGATCCATTGCCGATGGTTGGGCAGTGGAGTCACCCCTACATATGTGAAGGATGTAGACATTAAATACATTGGCAATTTTATATTAAAAATCACAAATAAATAATTATTTAAAGAAATAATACCCTCCATAAATTATTTGGAAGAAAAACCCACAAATCATCCACATTGGACGATCTCGAGGCATGCAAATCGCATGTTAAATCCTCGCACCCTCCAACACGCGAGATATATCTGACGTGTGCATATTTTTTAGGTAAGCCTATAAAACAATTGGATAAAATGACATCTCGCAATGCAAAGCGCGAGGTAGCCTTTATGATTCAAAATATCGCGAGATTTATGGGAACCTCGCGGCCTGCAAAACGCGAGGACAATAGATTCCCTACCCTCCCTTTATGTCCATAGCTTTGTTCGATACTATTTTTTAATGGGAAACTGAATTTTTTCAAAAAAAAATTAATTATAAATGCGTAGTGTTACAATTTATCTTTAAAATGACTATAATATTAACATATATAAGACATTTTAAGCGAGGCAAAAATAACGTTGAAAATGGTTAGAAATCATGGTTTTGTGAAGGAATAAGAAAAAAATTGGTTTGATAGACAAATTGAGTGTTTTTA